ACGTTGGCACCGACACTCTGTTGGGCTGTCCACCAGGCTCTGCCTTTCCTGCAAGTTGCTCTGTTGCCACTGATGCCATGGTGGCATGGTGCTATGGTGGCAGGTGGCAAGTGGCAGGTGAGCCAGGTCCACACAGCACCATCCTGGCCACAGCCACTCAATGGGCTCACAGTTGGCAATTGGCCCAGGGATCCAGAGGCCATCCCTGGGGAATGAAGAATTGGGACAAGAGGGGAAAGAACTCTTGGCCACTCTCTACAATGCAATGTCCACCACAAGGACAATGGCAGAGGGGGAACCAGATGGGAAGGTGTGGGGAAGAGGTGCCAAGCGTGGACATGCACAGAGGAGCCAAGATGGACAGCGGAACGATCCTGAGAGTGAGGCGCAGTCCTGTGGCTCCTACCTCACTGAGCACCAGGAGACACCTGGAGTTCTGAAGATAAACTCCCTGTTTTGGTCAATCTAGTGAGTAAGTTTCCCCACCTGCAACCGAGCAGCTACACCCTGGCAGCAGCCCCAACTCCACAAGAACCCCGACTTCCCCACTGGTACCTCTATCCCAAGCCTATTCTCTGGACAAATCAGATCAGCCGAAAATGCTTTTAGAAATAGGTCAACCATCCAAAGAGCTCGTTTAAAAAATATACCGAAGCAACGTAGAGAACCATTTCTGACAATTTATAAAACTAAAAGCAGATGAGTGGTTTTTCTTTGCTTGCTTCACTAGAGCAGCTCAGATCTGGTTCTTAACTTAGGCCAAATTCATCCCAGCCACATAAAACCAAAAGAGGTACTCAACGACCCCATCAGGTAATTTTAAATGCCATAATTATTAAATTATTAATTATTAAAATTGTACATTCTTTTTAATGTGCAAAATTTACTATTTTCCCTACTCACTAATGGTTATTTTGGTTCTTTCTTTTTTCTAAACTTTTTCTTTGCTTGCTTTCTGGTTCTCTTCTATAACTCGTGGGGGTTTTGTTGCTGCTCTACCATTCAGCCACATCCCCGGTCCTGCCCATGGTTAGTTTTAAAAGCATCACAGTAAAATGGAAGGAAAACAAGGGAGATATGGGTTATGGGAGGGATAACTGGTCCTGGGGGCTAGGGAGTCTCCGGCTGCCACTTGCTACTGCACACCCAGAATGTGTAATGTCTTTTTCAGTTTTCACATCGGTAAAGGGGAGGATAATAAGTAGAAATAGCAGCACCACCGATCGCCATCACCCACCCCCAAGCTGTGGGGAATCCAGGGAGCTGATGCGTGGCAAAGCCAGCCTTACCAGGAGGCTTGGGACAGCAATAAAAGAAAAAAGAAATGGACAAACCAAAAGCCTGCTGGACAGACAGCGCAGCGCAGTGCAGATCACGCAGGACACGGGCATCGCACTGGCTTCTCTGCCTGTTCTGCTCCTGTGGGGGCGCTCAGGGGACCCTCCACCCAAAAGTAACAAAAGTGCATCCAATGGGGCCATTCCGTGAAGAATGTTCCTGGGACAGCAATGAGGTTGGTTTCGGGATCCTTCCGGGAGACACCTTCTCATTCCTACACACGGCTCTCAACCAGTTCTGCTATCTGGCCAACCCTCCCTCCCAAATATTGAAGTCAACAGCAACTATAATTATTGAGCATATTTCTCTGTGCCTTTCCGGCAAGGTTTTAAACAAAGGCTACACATACGGCAGGCATCTATCTCATTTAAGCCTCGAAAACAAAGCCAAAGTGGGCTATGATGACAGTCATACTCCATCCAAGGGAAAAGAGGGTCTGGGGGTGGGAGAACTTGACCAAGATCTCCCAGAAGGCAACAGTAAGAGCCAAGATTTATGCTACAGTTCTTTGGCCATAGATAACGTACTGTATCCACTTCCCCAGGACGCTCTGCTTCGTTGTAAATTCATCATCAACCTCTGAACCATGGCAGGAACCTCCACCCCCAGTGACCTACCCTAGCAGCTGTCCTCAGGTACCATTCCCAACTCACAGCAAGGACACTGTAGAAAGCAGGACTTCCCTCATCTTCCTTCCCTCCAGTGCTGGCTGGAGACTGAACCCAGAAGAGCTCTACTTTATATTTTACAACAGGGGCTCAGTAAGTTGCCCAGGCTGACCTGGAACTGGAGATCCTACCACCTGGGCTTCCCCAGCAGTTAGGATGACAGGCGTGTGCCCCTGGCCAGGCTCCCCAATTTTTTGCCCCCGGACAGGGGAATTTTTCATATTTATATCCTATAGCCAACAAAAACTGTTCACAAAGTTTTGAATATAAAATCTTAAGAGAAATCCATGCTGAATTCTTAAAAATTATAAGATGGGGGGCTAAGGTTGTGGCTCAGTGGTAGAGCACTCGCCTGGCACTTACAAGGCCCTGGGTTCAATCCTCAGCACCACATAAAAAAATAAAGAAAGAAAATAGCAAATTGAAAAATGTATATAAAAAAAATTATGAGATGGGGCCAGGCACAGTGGTGCCCACTTGTAATCCCACCCACTCAGGAGGCAGAGGCAGGAAGATTTCAACTTCAAGACCTTAGAGAGACCCTTTCTCAAAATAAAAAGGACTGGGGTTGTAGCTCAGTGTCTGAGGTCCTGGATTCAATCCCCAGTACTGGAGGGAAAAAAAGCCCAGATCCAGGGTTGTCCCTTCCTTTCCCAGTCCTCAAGCCACAGTGGAACCTTGCATTCAAAGTACTTTTGTTCTTTCAAATAAAAAAATATACCCATGGGATAGTATCTTCTGTGAAAATATTATATTTACCCCATAGTTTTATTTTGGTTAATAAACTAATTAATTAAACTGATGAATAAGAAATAAGAATTCCTCTTTTTTCTTTTTATGGGGGGGATGCTTTTGCATCTTTGCTTTTGAAGATATCTATAATGCCCATGAAATGCATTTGCCCCAAATGGAAAAATTGTGACTGTCTAATATGTGTCCTTTACAACACTGTAAAGCCCCTAGTGAACACTTTGAGACCGTTATGAAATCCATTAGCTGAGTGAAAGAATATAAAAAGCAAGATGGTGGAGAAAAACCAACATTGCAAGGTGTCATTCATTATATTCAATATTAGATTTTCCCCAAAAAGGTTGTAAGGATGGTCTACTCTGCTCTTCTGCTGAAACTTCTGGTAATATCTTGCTCCGAGCTACGAAGTACTGATGAAGGTCAAGGAACAAACCAGGCTAACACCTCAGATTACCTCTGGATTTAAATTCTTCAGGTATTTCCTAGACTAACAATGTTGCTGGAGTTCAGAATCTTCAAATGCATTGCTAATTTTGTTTAAGACTAAAAGATGGCCTCTACTCAGGTCATCTGAAGGAAGATTTTAAATACTGCTTTTCATTGTAAAACCTGAGGAAACCTTCCTCTGAAATTCAGAAGAAGCAAAATAGAACAACATATGGAAAGAGATTAAGGGATTAGACAAGTACACGAGGAGCTTTAGACTAAGACATGGGAAGCCTCATCTTTCTGAAGAATCCACTGCAAACTCAATTAAACAACTGAATTCTACACTTGGTACATATATTTTAAAAAGAAGTAAAGCTGGGCATGGTGGCACATGCCTATAATCCCAGTGACTTGGAGGCAGAGGCAAGAGGATTGCAAGTTCAAGGCCAGTCTCAGCAATTTAGTGAGGCCCTAAGCAACTTAGTAAGACTCTGTCTCAAGATAAAAAACCAAAAAGGGCTGGGGATGTGACTCAGTGGTTAAGTGCCCTTGGGTTTAATTCCCAGTACCATAAAAAAAAAAGAAGTAGAGATGAGAAGCACTCCTAGTTATTTTGTTTATTCGTTCAATGTGACTTGTATTAAGCCTACAAATAAACTAAGGGATGCATTCAAAATGGTGAATTCTGTAATCAACAGTAATAAGTTCAACTTATTTCCTACTTTTATCTTTTGAATTACCAAATTTATAGTCTTTCAAGCAATGAAACGTAAGCAGCATTAGTTTGGGATACTCATCTATGACAGTAAGAGCTTAGTAAGACTCATTTCTTTGAACTGAAATTTAAACTAACCAAAATACTTCAAGTTCTTTCAAGCTGATAAAAGACAAACATGTAAAAAAAAAAAAAAAAAAAACCTCAATCAACATATATTTTAGTGAAAATACTATTTTCCTTATACTATACTCCTTATACTATTCCCATGATACAAATAAGTGATGAGACATACCAAAATAAATTCATTCTCCTTCTCTCTCTCTCTCTCTCTCTCTCTCTCACACACACACACACACACACACACACACACACACAGTAACTGACCAGTTGAGGAACATAATAAAGGTTACTATAAATTTAATAATCAATAACAATATTCAAATCTAGAAGCATGGGATAGACCTAACATGAAGGCAATCACAACTTCCAAGTTCTGATGCGTAGGATAAAGCAGAAAGAGAAGGCCAAAGTGGACATCGGCACTGTGTACAAAGAATAGCACACTGGGCGTCGAGTTCCACCCCCCTCTCTCACACCCAAACTTAGATCTGAAGCAAACTGTTAATAAGATAAATAGGTTTGGACAGGTCTGCCCTTTCCCTAAGCAGTGTCAAAATTGCATTTCGCAGTGGGCAGAATTAAATTTGTAAGCACTGACATCGCCAAGAGGAGCCAGGTAGCTATTAACCTCTCAGTTCATGACAGAAATTGCATTTTTACCTTGATTTTTTTACCTTCGGTATGTGCTTTAGAGAAATTCATTGCTCTAAGCAAAGCAAAACAAAATGTAAAAAAGGTAAGGACTTGGAAAACCAACATAGCAATAGAGTTGAATTTCATTTATCCTAATCACATTGCTGCCAACTTAATTAACTGAAGTTCTGTCTCAAAGTTTTTTGCACCTATGCAAATCAGCCTTTTTTGAAACTCATAGTTTAAAATACTAAATATATTTGATATGAATTGCACTGTCATTAAGAACAATACCATGGTGCATGTGGAGACAAATCCCACCTTTCCTTGAAGTCGGCACTTACCTTCAGGGAACTCTCCAGGCTGCACTATGTAGATGAATATGCGCACCATTTGGAAGAGAACACTAATGGGCCCGGGACTGTAGGTGTCTTCGGTCTCATATTTGGATGTAGGCAATTCATAATCCAATGCCTCAGAAGTGTTTTCTGAGATGATATTCCCACAAAGCCCCAGCAGCAGCAGTACACCAAACAGGAGGGCCATAGCTAGCAAGATTCCCTGAACATGAGGTAGCTTCTGGAAGCCTTAGGGAAGATAGGTCCTTCCTGTGCAGAAGTGGTCTAGTGGGTCCTGGACCTGCTGAGTCTTCTTCCTGGCAGGGCTGGCTTGCAGCAAGGGACGCAGAAGAGCTTCCTTCAATGGAGTCATTCACTCAAGGCAACATCTCTGGCAATGAAAGAGACAGTAGTAGAGTCACCCACACAGGCCACTTGCCTGCACCAGGAGCTGCTCTGGAGAGGAGACTGCAAAGCTTTAGAGCAAACCCTTCAGCCTAATCCCGGAGGGTGGAAATCAAACACACAGCTGCTCCAGAGCTGCAGGGGAGGGGCTGGCAGGAACAAGAACTCAGAGAAGGCCCTTCCTTGAGGGTGGGGCCGACTCAGAATACAGATCCTTTCCAAGCTCTACAGACAGGCAGGCACTGGGGGCTGTGCAATGGTGGAAACTAACATTTACCAAACACTTACTAGATTCCAAATGCTGTTGCGCATGCTTAAGGCATTAGCCCATTTCATGATGAGGATTTTCATAACTCACCCAAAGTCACAGGTGATGATCGTGGGAGCCAGAACTCAAACTCAGCAGTCTGCCTTCAGAGCCCAAGCTCTAGCCAGGTAACCAAGACACAGATCCTACAGAGCTCATTGTCCTAGGCTCCAATCAAGGCTCCACAGAGGACCCAGCACAAGTCTGTGTTTTTCTCCCTGCCTGGAGGTAATTCACTCAGCCTTAAATTCTGCTTATTAATAGACTGATCTTATTTCCAAAGGCCTATTCTCCATCTTACCCGCAATCCAAACCAAAAGGGGATGACCCTGAGGTCAGGGACCAAACTGTTGGAGATCCTATGACACTATTGTTTGCCTTCCTAAGAAGTTCACTGAGTCATCCTGATAGAAACCTCTGTCCCAGGTCACCATCTCCATGGCTAGGCACAGGAAGGTGAGAGACAGGGCAGAGGCTCCTCGCCCTTGTCCTGGTGGACCTTAGGTTCTTTCTGTCCCCAGAATCTAACAGAGCAGGGCACACAGCTGGTGTCCGTATTCAGCATCTGCTGAATATAAGAAATAAACAAATCAATGTAACGGCTTTTCCGTGCCAGGTCACAGGGTGAGGTGAACAGCCCAGAACTCAGAAGTGGAATCTGGCTCACACGTGTGTCTGTGTCTCCCCACCCCCCGCCCCCACCCAGGTGTTCTGCAAAACGTTGCTGCCATTTTGTAAGCTACATACACATCATACTCGTTAACTTTCAAGATAAGTAAAAGGTGCCCATAAAATGCACATTGTGAAAAAGGGAAAGGGGGACAATCAAAAGAGAGAGACACATTTTACAAGAAGCCAGAGGACCCACTACCTAGATTCCAAGTCAAAGTAAGCTCCAGATGAGAGGTGGATTTCATGAGTTATTTGAATGAAGATACTAATGCATATCTAATGCCCTTTGATGCTGCCACAACTCCAATTACTTCTGCACAGTGCAACCAACAGCATGACCCTACAGCAAATCGTGGGCTGTTCGGATGCCAAGTGGCTACCAGGAACAAAGGCACTCACCCCACACTTTGCTTCTGGCTCTCCATGACACTCACAATGTGCACAGGACCCAGGCTACATCTCTCGAAGGGTCCCCTCTGAACGTCTCTCTCACACACACACATCACTCAGACCTTAGCTGGAGTTTTGCTAAAGAAGAACTTTAATCCTAGCAGCTGCAAGGATTAAAGGTTCAGCTGCTGAAAAAGGCTCACTTCCTGGTAATGCCACTAACCTATAGCCAGAGTCAGAACTGACTAGGGAGAGCTGTGGTTAAGCTCACTGCCAAAGTCCTCCTCAGTGGAAAGGCAGAAAGGAAATTCCAGGTGGAGGGAAACACTAAGGCTCACCCCTGCAAAGACAGGCAGCGAGCCATCTAGAGGCAACTGGAGCTGCAAGTCCAGATTTCTTTACATCCTGCTCTGAAGTGTAGATCCCTCATTAATTTTAAACTAAATTGTAAGAAAATATTAAAATCTCACAAGCAAAATGCTAGACAATTGAAGAAATTGTCAGGTCAAATAGAGACATTTTTTTCACCTTGGTTCTAACGGCTGTGCCAAAATAGAAGGTCTGGGTGCTTCCTAATAAACTCCACCTGGTCCCAAGAGCTGCTGAGCTTCTGTATCAGCAACTTCTGTATCAGCATGCAATGGTATTCGCTTAAAATGCAAATGCCACACCTAATTTCTGGATGAGGCCCATTAACCTGATTTTCCATAAAATCTCCTCAGGACTGATTCTCAAGACAACTGAAGTTTGAGAACGATTATGCTCTTGGTTGAATATCACCCATTCCGCTTTCTACAGATACCATGGGCTTCTCGGATACAACCATAGGACACAGATGTGAAGTATGCTCTCCCAAAGGCCCTTGTCATGTTGCTTTGAATTGATCTATCCCAGCTGCTGTGCAGGGATCCTGACTTGCTCACGCCTATAATCTGAGGACCTGGCACACAGTAGGTATTCAGTAAAGGACTATAAAAATAAAATGGCAGTGGGGAAAACTGACACAAAATGGTCATTTTTAACTTTTTTTTTTTTTTGAAGTGGTACCAAACATTTACCTATTTGCTGCTTTCTAGCCTCTGAAAGGATGGTCCTATCCTACCCGTAGGATTGCCCATGGCCATTTCCTCCAACGCAATACTCACTGGAGCTCCTCATGCAGAACATTTGGTCTACCATGATGGGAGAGATACCTTTGTTTGGACTCTCAATTTTGCAAGCTTTGGAAATTTCTGCCTCAGGGGCTATCATCTTAAACAGGTACTAATCAACAAGACCCTCTTACCATTTTCCTGATTTATGGGGTACAGATTCCTGGTTTCTACCCCAAACACAATGAATTCATATGAGGAGAAGGGGTCCAAAAAGGTTGGTTTTAAACAAATACCTCGCATGATTCTGAGTCTGGAGCCCGAGAACCACATTTCAGCAAACACTGGTTTAAAAGCAAACAGGGTAAATGAGCAGCTTCATTTTCTTTTCTTCATTTGATGGGAACTTCTCAAAATTGTTCTTTTTTTAAAAAGGGTCCCTGTTTAGGTGTTCATCATGTGAGACGCTCTGGGCAGGATGTGAGGGCTCCCTAACTTCTGGGCCCACCTTTGTGTGTCCTGAGGGAGGAAGCCCTGCCTTTCATTATGAGGCCAACTGAGGTCCCCAAATTGGTCCTGGAGGGGTAAGCCAAGCCAGGCCAATCAGGTGTCTGTTCCTGGGCCTGTGCTTGCAGCATACATTGAAGTCACATAGTTTCTAATTAATTCTAGCACCAAAGACGGCAGTGCCAACAGCCATATCCAACACCATAGCCATACACCAGTCTGGGTGCCTGCCATATCCTGAGCTCCTAGGAGAGCCTAGCCAGCCCTCCTGTCCCTCCCTCAAGCCACCCAGTCATCACCATTCCCAGAAGCCCTCTTCTGCAACAATTTCCCAGAGTTCACTTGTATTGGCTTTTGTTGGTGGTGTTGGTGGTTCTAGGGATTGAACCCAGAGGCATTTTACCACTTTAGGACATGCCTAGTCCTTTTTTATTTCTATTTTGAAATAGGATCTCATTAAGTTGCTTAGGGGCCTCACTAAATTGCTGAGGCTGACCTTGAACTTGCAATTCTCCTGCCTAAGCCTCAGAACTAGCTGGGATTCCAAGTGGGCACCAACATGTCAGGCTGCTTACATTGTTTTTAACAAAGCATCCTGATCCTTAACAAAACTCCAAAGCCAGCTCCCACCCCACTGAATAACCTAGTTCCTTTATTTTAAAACAATACCAACAACATAATACTTGGCTTAAAGTTCTGTTATTTTCAACCTGTGGTTTGATGCACTTATTTACTTCACTGAACTAGAACACAGAGAAATAGTACAGCATGGAAATTATACGGAAGTTCATAAAAAATTTATAGGGCATATCAAGAAAACAAAACTAAAGGGTGCTGCTAAATAGAAAATAGCCGCAAGCTTTTGAGAAAGGGCTGGGTCTCTGGTATCACTCATTAACTGTGACAATGACAGCTGTTTATAGTCTCCAACCTTTGCTTGGTTCATCTCTACAGTGGGAAGCAGCTTGGGTTGCAAGGAACAGTAAAGTCCTGGCCCACAGCCAGCGGTCCACAAAGCGCTGGTGGGCTTTGCCATGGATGCTCTGAGCAAAACTCCACCATGACCCCCAGGCTCATCTTGCCAGAGAAGGCAGCTCCGTGGATACAGAAAGTTTCTCACAAATGAGAAAAGAAAAACATACATCATCATCCAAGTTGAATCGTAGAGAGTTGATTTTCAAATATTCAATCCCCCAAAAGCAACTTCATTTGTTTCCACCTTACTCGTTGCCTAAGTTGTTTGGAGTCAAGAGTGAGTGAGGGTGGAGGAAGCCGAAGGACCACAATCACCTACTTGCTTATCTTAACAAAAGTCGGTAGTTGCCTCAACAATTTAGTGAGGCCCCTAAGCAACTTAATGAGATCCTATCTCCAGCCCGGACCAGACCAGAGGAAGGTCGGTCGGGCTCGCCGAGCAACCTGTAGCTGCAGGAGGCACCGGGCGCGGGTTTCCCGGCCTTCCCTCTAACCCACTCCAGGCCGGCCTCCCTCCAGCCTCCACTCCCCCCTAGACAGGAGCCTCTCCTAAGCTGCGGGACACAAAAGAATGGGCGGCCACGCGGGCGCGGGAAGTCAGGGGCCTCCAGGAACCGGCCGCCGCGCCGCTCGGGGGAGGGGGTTGCCGGAGTAACTTGGCTGCCCCCAGCGCGTCGGCGCCAGTTCCGTTCGGCGGCCTCGCGTGGGCATGGATTGGGGGCACTCTCGCCAGAGAGCAGGGGATCTGGACCCGTGCCCCTCCGCCCTCGGGCCTGCTCTCAGGGAAACTGATCCTGAACCCCGACTCTCCTGCAGCCGCGGAGCTCTTCGTCTGTCCTCGTTCCCCTTTGTTGTCGCGGT